TTTTAATGTTCGTTACTTTTTTGTTTTGTTTTTGTGGTGCCAATATATGTATTATTTGCAAACCGTGTTGGTTAAAGAAAATTAGGAACTTTCAACACAAAATTCTAAAGTGTGACATTTTTTATTTTTTATATGGACCAAAATAAGTACAATTCCAAAGCTAAAATTGTAAGAGATGATGGTTGAATTCAAGCGGATTTTCTACGGGGACTTGTTTATGAATTGTATACAATTATATGTTATTTCAGTCTATAAATCAAGATTTATGAAATTTCATCTGCATTTTTATATATTTTTATTTAATCTTAAAAAGAAATATACGTGAAAAGACAGGTTGGAGGAGCCAAAATGGAAGTCTATCTTATCCTCTCTCTCTTCAACAAACTTTATATATTATAAAAACTTATATTCTTCAACACATATTTACATACTAGATTTTTGTTCCGCATCAAACACATGATTAAAATATTTAAAAATAAAATTCATAAATTTTTTATAATATATAGAAAAAAATAAAAACAAAGAGATCAAATGATATATTTTCCATATATATAAATATATTTTTGATGTTAAAAAAAATCTATTTTATCTTACAAATTTTAATCTGCATTATATTTAGATTGAATGTAAACGTTTTAAATGTAAATCGAATACGTTTTAGATTATGAGTTCTCAAGATTATTTGAGCTCACCAAACCCAAAAAAACATCGTGTTAGTATGTAAATCTTCTTAAATAAAAATTTCAAAGAAATAACAAAAAATGAAAATGATGATTTTTGAAATTCAACTTTTAATGTTTGATTTGTAAAGTTGTACGTTTATAACAAAAACGCAACTTTATATAATAATATAGATACAATTAAACGATATAAAATAAATAATTATATGATCAATCACATAAATGGACATAATACAATTTTTATAAAGTAATTAAGATTATTAAGTGATTCATCGTTAAAACATTATGTTATAAACGTTTAAATAATTAAAATGTTATATTTGAGTTGGATTTAAATTAGTATCATATGTATTTGTGAGTTCATGTTAAAAATTAATTTAAATATGTAGAGATTTCCAACATGACATATATAATTAATTGGAATGTTTTGATTGATTAATCGAAGTAATGTGTCCCTTATAATCTTTATTGAATGACATATATGATTTTTTATCTAGTGTCTTCTGAAGAATTGTATGGGACATAAAAGTAAAACAATAAATTTAGCCCAAAATTGGATGACATTTATTTTTTTAGTTTCCAATTTCTTGAGTTATTATATCACTGGTAGCAAGTTGCATTTTATCCAAATCTTTGTCAAGGTGACTAGTATCTTTGTCACATAATGGTTTTTAAATTTAAGTCTTCATGTGATTTTTTCTTATCCTAAAAGAGTTATTACAAGTTACGGAAAATTACTTCTTTATATATGGGAGTGTGACTGGTCTGATGCAGGAGTAAACAAATCCATCTCAATTTTACCTTGGGTCCACAATTAATTCCTTGTATCCACAATTAAAAAAAAAAAGTGGAGTAATTCTTTCCACTAGTTTTTTATGGATAGCAAACTAGTTCTTTTTGTTTACCTTCGATTAATAAACGTTGTGGTATGTCTTGCATTAGACACAAGATATATATATATATATGCAAAGTTACAAACACGCCAAACCCACACAAAATTAGTACTCCATAAACATGGATTATGTTGTGAGTAATTATTTTTGGTTCCGAGTTTCAAATAAACCTGATAATAGAAGTTATATCGGGTGAATTCTAGAGAATAATTTGGTTTTGAGATCAGGGTGAGAAGCCTTAGTTCTCTCTCTAGAAAAGTGCCGCCGTTGAACAGTACCAAAATCGATTTTTCTGCGATTTGGTCCGGCAGTCGGCGGCTTTCATAGCACCGGTGCCGGATCCGTGTTTTATATTATTTGTTTTCCTTTCCTTTGCTTGGTTCTATCAAATCTGTAAGAAGTTTTGAGTTTTGAGATTGTTTCAACTCGTGTGGGTGGGTGTGGTGAGGCTCGGATCCCGGTCCGTCTGGATCTCGGATGGTGTGAGTGGCCTCTCTGGTTTGAGTTGAAGGTGCGAGGTGGTCTGTGGTTTCGGTTTCCTTGGTTTCGAGATCGCTCGCCCTTGGCTCTCAGTTCCGGCTTCTTCTGTCTGTGTAAGATACTTCCCGTAAGAAGGGCCTTTGGTCTGGGCTCGTGGTTCTGATCAAACCTTCTTTATGTCTTATCGGGTTTGGTCTTGTTCTTTCCTTGCCTTGCTATATCGCTTATTCGGATTGTGCTCTCAATGTTTTCTGCCTTGGTTTTACATTTGGCTGAGTTAGGGATCTTATGGTTAGGTAAATGTATTAGTTCTTGTCCCTAGGCTTTTTAGTGGTCTATGTTGTTGTTTGGCTTTTGAGCCTGGCTTGATTCTATTGTTTGGGCTCGGAGGTCAAGGTATATTTGCCGTACGCCATTGCCTTCTCAAGATCCCGATTTTCATGGTCTGATCGCTTTATTGTTGGTTCTTTGCTCTGTTTTCATTATCGCCCGCGTTCTTCTCCGCCTCTGCTATTGCCGGTTAAGTTGGTTCTAGAGCCGCGTTTTAGTCTTCCAGCTTTCTGGGTGTGCCTCAAGGTTTAGGTTCTGCTCGAAATTTATGTTTGTTGGCTCAATTTTGGCATTTCCAAATTCTATGGTTAAGTTTGTGGAATTGTGTTGATGGTTCAATGTTTTGAGTATAGGTCGAGAATTTTACTTTTATCCTTACCAATACCTTTTCTCCTTCGTGTTAGTTTCTATTGTCCTGAATATGTCTCTAAGGAAACTTGTATTCCTTGGTTTAGTTGCAGAGAACTTTTATTCTATGATGTATTTTTTCATGTAGTTCTGCCTATGTGTTTAATAAAATATTTTAGATGACAAAAAGAAAAGCTATATCGGGTTAAAAAAAAAATGTCGGATTTGATGATTTTTTTTTGTTTTTTTGAATTGAAAAATGTTAACCACTGAACTACGCTATTTCACAAAATAACCACCACTATGCTACAGAATCTTCAGGTTCGGTTTAACTAGTCCTGACTTTGTCTATATGTTAAAAACAGAAAATGAGTAAAATAATAGAGATAATGGAGAAGGTTGGGCTAACAAATGGCATAAACCCATTTTCGGCCGCCAAGATTCTCTCGCATGTCCCATGCTCCCACTTTGCTTTGAATACATTTACCCCTCATTATTGATTTTATGTCGGCAAGAATTTCGTTTTGGATTTTATGTTTATCATACAAGAGTTTAATTTCTCTTTACATGTGTTCGGGCACATTTTCATCCTTATGAGTTTCAGGTGCACGAGCATTCGCTATTGATCCGGCATATTGCCGGGAAAACAAATATAGATATATTATTAGTCGTCTTTAAAAAAGTAATGTATGATCTTCTTTTTTTTTTTATGTAAAATAATATATGATCTTCATCATAAGGTTATATGTGAATTACATGTTAATGCCACAATATGTTTTTTTGGCAATTTTCAAAAATATCATGTTTTGAAGTTTTGTTTCTAAAAATAGTATAAAAATTTTCTATTTCAAAAATATTACCAAAATTTTTGGTTTTTCAAAAATATCACCAAAAGCTTTGAGAGAAACAAAGAGTGAAGTTTTAAAAAAAAATAAAATTAGGGTTATGTCTTAGTAGTTTCGTTTATATATGGAGGTAAAATTTCTGGTTAGATAAATAATTTTGATTTAATACACCCTAAATCTAACCCTAAAGTAAAAGCATGTTCTTAACTTATAATGTGAAACCATTACACATATTTGGACTCGTAATTCGTAGTCATATGCAAAATCACATACATAACTCAAAGTTTAACATCACTTTACACTTAACTCAACTTTAAAAACCAAACCCTACACTATAATTTCTACAAAGTTGTTTACTTTAAACCCTGAGTCAATAAATACGAATCCCTAAATCTAAATCATTACAACCATAAATTCATAAAACTTATAAATCAAATCACAATAACTACCAATATGTATTGACCACATAAATATTAAATATATGGTTATGGAGTACCTTATTTGGTATCTCATGTATTTATTTAGTATTCATTTCATTATTAGTACGTATTTCATTTATAATTTAAAATTTTTTCGTTGGTTTAATTTATTTTAGTTTTGTGAAATTTTATTTTTTTTTGGTCATGAATATAAAATTTTAATCAAACTAGTTTTTATTAATTTTATATTATATGTAATTATGGACAAAACTTTTATGGAAGTCACTTTATGTGGAGAATACGAATTCGACTTCTAACTAAAGTCTACATAGCAGACTTCTCTATTACATTGCATACTTTTCGAAAGCTAAAACAATAATTGTGTGTTTCATTTTTTTGTTTGTCATAAGAAGTGTAGTTGTAATTTCACTTTCTCATTGGATTACTTTGCCAAATTGAAATAAAGAGTCTATATTTGCATTTTAAATAAAATTTTGAGTCATTTTTAACAAATTCCCCAAACTTCCAAGTGTGGTAATTTAGGGATTTTCTCTATTTTTTTTTTATTATAACGAATTTATAATGAAACAACTTTTCAGATCCAAATTTTAAATATCAAACGTCTAACTCGAAAAGTCCATTGTATACCTATTCATTTCTAAGTAGATAACTGTTTAAACAAAAAAACATGTATGAACATATATAAATTATGATCTAGCTTACCACAGATCTAAATGGTAATTATTAATAATTTATTGGAAAAACGAATAGAACAATAAACGGAATAAAGACTTGAGATAAATAATTTTGTCCTATTCAGTTTTTTTGATAAAAAAAAAAAAAATTGAGAAACCATTTTTATAATTTTGTTAAAAAAAGTCACAAAAAAATTTGTCTACAATTTTATTGATTTTGAAAACCACAATTATTGTTTACATTTGGTAGCAGAAATCGTGGACAACAATAATACAAAAGCTAAAGAAAATTACAATAAATTGTTTTATTTGCTTGCATGTTTGTACAAACGTTTGATTCCTTATTCCTAAAGGTAAATTTCACATAATTGAACATGGAGCACCAGCTCTTTAGTCTTTATGGTGCTGAGATAATGTTGGAGTTTACGGTTTAGTGTGTAATTGTTATTGACAATTCGGATGATGTTCAAGTTATCACCTTTAAATTCCACTGTTTTTGTAATCGAGAGATCATGATGCTTGCATTGCTCATAGTAAGGAAATGCATTCTTAAAATGTACGTTCGGGTTTCAATTTAGGCCCAAGATACTTTGGGCTTTTATGTACGAAATTGTTTTTTTATATATGATGATGAGTAATGATTCTAAATGAATTATGTAACAGAGGACGTATAGTCAACGCGTCGTTCGTGACATTCATGACCTTAAAAAAGTCCTTCCTACCAACAATTTTTTTTTTTCATATTCCAACATTTCTTTGTTGTGAGAAATATTCCAACCA